GGAGGGGATGGGTGAACTGACACTGAGAGAGAGGGAGAGAGAGAGAGAGAGAGAGAGAGAGAGCGGTACACATATATAATAGACGTAGTTAGGTCGGTGGGGCTTCTTTTTTTTTCTTCTTTTAAAGGCGTGTGTTTCGTGATTAAGTAGTTCTGGATGGGTGGTGGCGGGGCGTAAAAGCTGAACCTCAGCTGATTGGGCGTGATGGTCGAGACGCAAATAACCGTGTGAAAAGTGTAAAGGTTTAACGCCCCTTTTCAACACTACAAGTTTACTTAACAGACGGGACCTCCAAAGTTAACAACGTCCTTCTCCGATAGGAACAAGCCTAATGTGTGTAGAGCGTTAATGTTAAATTTAATTCCGCAAAACAAAACCCAAGCTGAGAACATCCCTTTGGGGATTCGAACAACGACCAGCTGCTTCATAGTCCAGTGATACTTACTGAGCTAACGTCGCGCCAAAACAGGCTTAACACCCCTTAGTCGCAAGGGAGACTTGTGGTGATGAGGAAATTACCATAGTGGGTAGTTCTTTATAATTACGAGTACATCTACGCGAACTACGATCTTCCTTTTTTTCTTTCATTGAGTTTAAAGTACCCGGTGCGCTCCAGGGTGCAGGGTCAATTATTTTATTTTATTTCATTTATTTCATTTCATCTTTAGATCTAGACACCGCGCAAAGACAGACCGGGCCGAATTCGTAGGGAACGACAATGGAAATATTGTCGAAAAAAGTAGTTGAGAAAATTATTAGCCTTCAGTGTTGTGATAGCTTGCTCTTTCTTCTCCTCCTCCACCCCCACTCCAACCCCCTCCCGGGTCCACCATCCCGCCAAACAGCGGTCTGAATTTGTTCCTCTTTCTGATTGGTTATTTTCATCATACATCAAATTTTGAACTAGATAAACTAGAAAACAAGTGTTTGATTTGAAAGGGTTTAATGAAATTGTGTCGACATGGAAGCTTTCATTATTTTCTAATTATTATTATTATTGTTCGTTGCTGTTGTTTTGTAGTTGCTGGGGGTTTTTTTTTTGTTTTTTGTTGTTGCTTTTTTAAGGGGGTGGGGAGAAATTAACAATTTTAAAATTAGTGGGGTTCCCGTTATCTCGCTCTTACTCTGTATGCGAAGCAATGAGGATTACATGCAAATTCTGAAATGGAATGCTTGATGGTGCTTGTAAAGACAAACATTTGTTATACCTGAAGAAATAATAAGAAAACTAAGATAATGCCAACTCGAAAAAAGGGGGAGGGAGGGGGGTGAAGGGAGTAACTGGTTGTTGATATTGAAGAAAAAACATATAAGTATGCATTTTGTTTCTTTTTGAGAGGGAAGGTGGGGTGTTTCTCTAAAAGTGCCTCCCTCACCTTTCCATTCCGTAGAGAGAGGGCCAAGGGTTGACCTCTCTTTCCTCCTCCCTCCCTCCCTCCCTCCCAAACTCAACACTGTCCGGTGCACTGTGTGACTGTTCCTTCAATTCAACAGCCTTGCTAAGTGGTTCCGGTTTATTCGGGCAAACACCTCCCGAACAGTGGTTGCTTGGCGGGCGGTTTTTTGTTTTCCCAAAGCTGTAGTTCAGGTGTCGGAAAGCAGGGTCTTTGCGGAACCGGCGTCTTTGCGCTTAACACTCGTGTAGCGTTGTAGCGACCTTGTGAGTGGGACTGGGCAATGGGTCGCTTTAGCAAAATCCGGATAATATGTTAGTGCACCTCTTCAGCAAATAATATTATATGAACTACGTCGGCAAATGGGTTAGAGCTACTTCGACAAACGGGTTAGATCTAGTAATTCTTCAACTCAACAAATGGGTGCACGCACTTCGACAAACGGGTCAGGAAAGAGAGTTAAAATAATGTTTCATTGAGAAGTATCCGGTTA